TTACACAAATTATAGCCGACTAAATTAAAATTTTAACATATTATTATGTTCAAATGTCAAATAAATTGTGTAAGTTTTTAATATTAAATTTTACTACAATTATTTGCTACAATTTACAAAAACATAAATATATTTTCTGAATTAACACGTTTAAGTCACTACCGAAAAATTGCTTTTTTTGACTTATCCCCTTATGCCTTTTACCCACAGAAATGTAAGTTAAGTATTCTGACATTCTTTTTAGTTGTTTTTACCCTGTATATATTTTTGTTTTAGGTACTAAATTTTTTTCATAATGGATACCTACTTTTTTAATTATTTCATGTCTTCATCAGTAGCGTGCCGTGGGTCTTAGGGAGGAGGGGGCGAACTTTCTTAAAAACAACATTTTTTTTATTTGATACAAAATTGTCAACGAATTAGGGCGCCAAATGCGGTCTGTGCAGAAGGGCGCCCTATACGGCACGCTTCTGGTCTTCATATCTTTTAACCCAGATTTAACTGCCTATTTTAAACGAATTTCAGTAAAACATGCATTCTTTTTTAGACTATTTGCAGTGGCGGTAGAGTAGCGTAGCAGCGCATGCATGCAGATGCTCTACGACGACAGAAGTGGCAGTAAAAGCGACGTCGTTTGAAGTGACACGACCGTGTACCGGTGAAGCGTCTCTTTTCACTCGACCGTTTCACCTATGCTGTGACTGCTTCTGAAACTGCTATCAAATGCCAAATGTCATACAACAAAAGTAGTTTTAAATTTTTTTTTACATCTACCTTTAAAACGCCCATTATAATGGGCGTTTTAAAGGTGATTATCGTACATGTTTCCATTGTACTAATTGACCTTTTAAATTCACATTGACAAGTTGTGGGTTTTTAGTCACGGGCTGAAGTTAGCAACAGGTTAGTTACAGGCTGAAGTTAGTTTTAAGTTAGTTAACATTTGTCAAATGTCATACAATCTTTAAATTAAAGTGCCCTTCTTGTAAAATAATACCAAATGTGAAAATTTATTATCTCAATACAAAAATACAAACGTATTAAATAATTTTCAATATTTGAAAAGTTTAAATGCTCGTTGTACTGACCTTTTGATTTCGCCGCAGTTAACCAGATTGAACTGATAAAGCGTTAAAAATTTTGCATACAGTGCCCATGAAACATTCATATTGATTGTTAGTCTATTTTCAAGGGATACATTTTGATTTACACAGGAAAAATTAAGATTTTAACGCCAGTAGATTCCCAAGTTAAAAATTTTAAGGGGAATTCCAATAAATACAACTGTCACTTTTTTTACCTATAGGTATACCTTTAACATTTCCTGTGTAAGAATTTTTAATACTTTGTGATAATATTTTGCAATTATAATAAAAAAAATCAAAGAATAAAATTTTTTCTCAACATAATCATATTCGAGTTATTTTAATATTTTAAAGTATCAATAAGTTTAATTAAAATAATAACGGGCATGTTAATGGTAAAAATTACGTCAAAAATGTTTATTGGGATGGTTACTTTATTTTCGTATAGATGTCGCTTTATACAAATATTTAATTTAAATCACTTTTTAGATAATATTAAGTTTTTGTTGTTGAAAAAGTATAGTATGCAACTCGTTTATAATTTACAATTTAATTAAACACTCGTGCCTTAATTAAATTCGTGACTAAAATTGCGTTTATCAAACTTGATACATAATATAGATACTATTCTTTACTTTCACTGTGAAAAACTGCTTCTATATCGGATTAAACGGTTCATTTTCAAGGGATACATTCCGATTTACACATAAAAAGTTTTTTATTAAAAACTTGACATTTTTACGGGCGAGCCAAGTTTGCTACTCTATTCTTTTATAGATGTCGCTTTATACAAATATTTAATGTAAATTATTTATAGATAATACCTATTAAGTATTTGTCGTAGAAAAAGTATAGTATGCAACTTGTTTATAAACCTTTTTTGACTCTCATTTAATTAAGCACTCGCTCGCAAGCACGCTCGTGCCTAAATTAAATTCGTGTCTAAAATGGCGCTTATCAAACTTAATTCATAATACACTAATTAGTTATTATTTTAATGTTAAAATACCAGATTAATGACTGTCATAGTTTCAAGCTAAAAACTATAAATTATAATACACTGGCCAAAAAATGCATTTTTTGTTTAGTAAAATTATTATTTTACTGCTAAAATGGTAAAGGATCGAAACAAATAAAATCACCTAATGGCTTTTATATACTTTTTATTATTTAAGTAACATTTTAAACTCCTCATGCATATACACGTCTTCAAAAACATTAATACTCAATAAAATAGTGCTTAACATTTCACTTAGTACCTATTAATAAAAATAAATAAATTTAATCTAAATCTCATTGTCGTAATTAAGGCACTCTATTAACCTAAGTATTTACATTTTTTTACAAATTTAAAGCTTTTTAAAGCAAGTACAATTATAATCCTTTTAATTTTGACCAGAACAAAAAACTTACCATAAAATGTAAAAATGATTGAAAAACCCCATTGAATTAAAAATATTTTAAGTACTTTTTATTTAAGAGTAAAAACTATAAAATACAATTGTTTCCCCTTCTTTGTAATAAAATAAATAAACCTTAAATGTATCCCGTCGGTGTCAATGCATGGCCGGTATTCACCATATGCATTGAGTTGGTATTTTGCAGGTGGTACACGTGATTATAATAATTCTGCGTGCTTTGGGGCGACCCCGTCGGAGGGGGCAGAGCCCCCCCTTGCCCCGGATGCGCCCCCCTGAACATAGCCCCATGCATCCCCGACAAGATATCCTGAACGCTGTGACTGCTGGGCCAGTTGTAGCCGGCCCCGGGATGGCTCCTTGCGGCACCCCCTAACTTTTGATGGGACATCTCCGGGGGAGTGACCGGGGCCATGGGGTAGTTGCGGGGGCTGATGGGGTACGAGGGGTAGATGGCGTTGTAGAGGCTGTGGGGGTGCGGTGGCGTGTGTTATATTTTTTAATTTTACTCTAGGGTGGCCTTTATTACTTTGTAAAATATAAATTAAAAGAACAAAGAAATAACTAATGTCAATGTTTTAGAAAGATAGAGCAAACAGTTAGTAATTATAGAGTGGAATTTCTATTGTTTTTATTACGTTTTTCTCTTAGTAGATCAAAAATGTTATTATGTAGGTAAAATAACGAAATAAACCATTTCTCAAATTTGGTAATTTTTCGTATCTATACCGTTATAAAACCGTTTTGGTTAACTGTAAAAATACTTTAAAGTTGACTTAGTAGTAAATTTGTAGTTATTTAAACTTAAAATGCTGCTTGGGTTGAAATACCAGATTAATAACTTTGTCATAATTTCAAGGTAAAAACTGTTTATTAAAATTATTATTTTACTGCTAAAATGGTCAGGATCGAAATAAATAAAATCACCTAATGACTTTTATATACTTTTTATTATTTAAGTAACATATTAAACTCCTCATGCACATACACATCTTCAAAAACATTAATACTCAATAAAATAGTGCTTAACATTTCACTTAGTACCTATTAATAAAAATAAATAAATTTAATCTAAATCTCATTGTCGTAATTAAGGCACTCTATTAACCTAAGTATTTACATTTTTTTACAAATTTAAAGCTTTTTAAAGCAAGTACAATTATAATCCTTTTAATTTTGACCAGAACAAAAAACTTACCATAAAATGTAAAAATGATTGAAAAAACCCCATTGAATTAAAAATATTTTAAGTACTTTTTATTTAAGAGTAAAAACTATAAAATACAATTGTTTCCCCTTCTTTGTAATAAAATAAATAAACCTTAAATGTATCCCGTCGGTGTCAATGCATGGCCGGTATTCACCATATGCATTGAGTTGGTATTTTGCAGATGGTACACGTGATTATAATAATTCTGCGTGCTTTGGGGCGACCCCGTCGGGGGAGGCAGAGCCCCCCCTTGCCCCGGATGCGCCCCCCTGAACATAGCCCCATGCATCCCCGACAAGATATCCTGAACGCTGTGACTGCTGGGCCAGTTGTAGCCGGCCCCGGGATGGCTCCTTGCGGCACCCCCTAACTTTTGATGGGACATCTCCGGGGGAGTGACCGGGGCCATGGGGTAGTTGCGGGGGCTGATGAGGTACGAGGGGTAGATCGCGTTGTAGAGGCTGTGAGGGTGCGGTGGCGTGTGTTATATTTTTTTAATTTTACTCTAGGGTGGCCTTTATTACTTTGTAAAATATAAATTAAAAGAACAAAGAAATAACGAATGTCAATGTTTTAGAAAGATAGAGCAAACAGTTAGTAATTATAGAGTGGAATTTCTATTGTTTTTATTACGTTTTTCTCTTAGTAGATCAAAAATGTTATTATGTAGGTAAAATAACGAAATAACCCATTTCTCAAATTTGGTAATTTTTCGTATCTATACCGTTATAAAACCGTTTTGGTTAACTGTAAAAATACTTTAAAGTTGACTTAGTAGTAAATTTGTAGTTATTTAAACTTAAAATGCTGCTTGGGTTGAAATACCAGATTAATAACATTGTCATAATTTCAAGGTAAAAACTATAAATTATAATACAAAAAATGCATATTTTGTTTAGTAAAATTATTATTTTACTGCTAAAATGGTAAAGGATCGAAACAAATAAAATCACCTAATGACTTTTATATACTTTTTATTATTTAAGTAACATATTAAACTCCTCATGCACATACACATCTTTAAAAACATTAATACTCAATAAAATAGTGCTTAACATTTCACTTAGTACCTATTAATAAAAATAAATAAATTTAATCTAAATCTCATTGTCGTAATTAAGGCACTCTATTAACCTAAGTATTTACATTTTTTACAAATTTAAAGCTTTTTAAAGCAAGTACAATTATAATCCTTTTAATTTTGACCAGAACAAAAAACTTACCATAAAATGTAAAAATGATTGAAAAAACCCCATTGAATTAAACATATTTTAAGTACTTTTTATTTAAGAGTAAAAACTATAAAATACAATTGTTTCCCCTTCTTTGTAATAAAATAAATAAACCTTAAATGTATCCCGTCGGTGTCAATGCATGGCCGGTATTCACCATATGCATTGAGTTGGTATTTTGCAGATGGTACACGTGATTATAATAATTCTGCGTGCTTTGGGGCGACCCCGTCGGAGGAGGCAGAGCCCCCCCTTGCCCCGGATGCGCCCCCCTGAACATAGCCCCATGCATCCCCGACAAGATATCCTGAACGCTGTGACTGCTGGGCCAGTTGTAGCCGGCCCCGGGATGGCTCCTTGCGGCACCCCCTAACTTTTGATGGGACATCTCCGGGGGAGTGACCGGGGCCATGGGGTAGTTGCGGGGGCTGATGGGGTACGAGGGGTAGATCGCGTTGTAGAGGCTGTGGGGGTGCGGTGGCGTGTGTCCAAGGCTCTTGTTCCGGATTATCCTGCTGATGGAGCTTACCGAGGGGACGTTGTATTTGTCGCACACGCCGTCGGCCAAAAGTCGGTCGCGCATTTCCCATGCGAAGATGCCCGGGTCTTTTTGCTTTAGTTTTCTTATGTAAGCCACCACTTTTGGGGTTGTGACGCGGGGTTTGGAACCGCCAATTGCTCCTGTAACAAAAGGTATACGCTTATTAAAGAAAATGCACTTTGAAGTAGAGTTTTATAATTGTTGACTTAATATATAGCATTCTACTGCTATGTTTGAAAGATCGTTTTCCTATAACATTTTTAAGTTACATATGTACGATGTTATATAAAATCGTAACAAAAGCAAAACTTTTAATAATCAGCTGTCAGACGCTTATGTTACAAACAAGTGTTTTTGAGAATAAAGCCGGAAAATGTTAAAAAATATGTTGGGTGTATTTCGAGAGGAAATCCTGGGTTGAGTTTTTACCTGTTTTCCAAGAAACAGTGTTAATTTGAATGAAGAAATAAATTGCATGCAGTCTCTGTAAATATAAATTGTACCTATTAGATACAATAAATACACATTTTAGTAGTGATTAACGTGAAAAGTGTAAACATTTTAATTCAGTAAAAATCGTCAAACAAAAAGTCGTCTAAATTTAAACAGCATTTAGCATTATTAAAAGCGTTGATTAAGAAAGTCTCCACTTAACGGTAAAATACCATTATATTATGTATTATATATAATATTATGTTGCCATGAATTCGTAGGTATATTTTGTTGTTTAAAATGCAGTTGTCTTAACTTAAACGTAAAAATGGTTGATTTTAAGGTTATGTTTGTGCAAAAATTATTTTTTACTAATTTCTTAAAAGTGTCCAAACTTAAATATAGGTAAATTATATTAGGTAAAGTTATCATTAGTTAATTCTGCACCAACAAATGTACTTACCGAATTGGATCCTTTGGAAAAACATGAAAATGCAACGATTTAGTTAAAATTTTTATTTACAATTAAATACACAATAATTCACCATGATCCCTTTGATAAAATACACACACTAACGCAACTATATAAGCATTTAAGCGTTGAGTTTCTTAATCAATCATATAAGGAATAATCAATCGAAATCGAGTACTAATTTAATTTTCTCGTTGCAACGTAAAACACAAATAACGTGCGCGATTTAGCTGTGCAATTGAACAGTCGAGTAAGACTTCTACCTTCCTATTTATTTAAAAATGATGTATAATCTGTGCTTTAAATGTATTGTTGACAAGAAGTCCACCAGATGGCGCGCGCGTTTCGAAAACCCGATACTTCTTTAGCGTATAAGATTCTTATATTTTGTTTTATTTTTCTTAATTAGATTTTTTATGTACTTGTAAAGATATTAATTTCTTTCTAAGTTATTTTTAATATATATTTATATATGTGTATGTATGTATATGTTTCGCCGACGGTGGACGAGTGGTTAGTGCTGCTGACTACAAGCCGGAGGTCGTGGGTTCGAATCCCACCAGGGGTATGGCTGTTTATTTGTGTTTGTCCTATTCAAAGGGGACTTTAAGCCCGCGGTCCGTTCCTACCTCTAACCCGCACAAGCCATTCAGTTGGCTTATGGGACTTCTTAAGAAGTAAGGGTGGAACTTAAAGAGCACTTTTGTATATAAACTTTTTGTATATATATATATATAAATATTATGTTTTATTTGTAATACTATATTATTATTTCTATCATTGATTAAAAAACTCAATGCTTAAACGTTATTGTGTGTATTTTATCTAAGGGATCTTGGTGAATTATTATTATTAATTGTAAATAAAATTCAAGAACTAAATCGTTGCATTTTCATGTTTTGCCAAAGGATCCAATTCGGTAAGTATAATAATAATAATAATAATAATACTTTATTGGTGTCATTACAAAAAAATATGTTTACACAGGTCAAGTACATTTGTTGGTGCAGAATTAACCTAATATAATTTATATTTAAGTTTTGACATTTTTTAGAAATTAGTAAAAAATAATGTTTGCACAAACATAACCTTAAAATCAACCATTTTTATACTTGGGTTCTCTAAAAACGCCGACAACTGCATTTTGAACAACAAAATATACCTACGAATTCATGGAAACATATTATTAAATATAATACATAATATAATGGTATTTTACAGTTGAGTTGAGACTTTAAAGAATTCTTAATCAACGCTTTTAATAATGCTAAATGCTGTTTAAAGTTAGACGACTTGTTTGACGATTATTACTTAATTGAAATGTTTACACTTTTCACGTTAATCATTACTAAAATGTGTATTTATTGTATCATTTGGATTAACACTATTTATTGGAAAACCGATAAAAACTCAACCCAGGATTTTAACTCGAAATACACCCAACAACACAACAAATCGTGCCACAGCTTTTTTTTCGTTATTTTTTAATATTTTCCGTCTATTCTCAAAAACAGTCGTTTGTAACCCAAGCGTTTGACAGCTGATTATCAAAAGTTGTACTTTTGTTACGATGATAACAGCCGAGTGGTGGCGCTACTAGCGATACTTCTTTAGTGTATTTATAAATATTGTTAATAATATTTTAAAGCTTCGAATTTGAATATTCGGACATTAAAATAATTTTAAAATTATTCATATATTCAAGTATTCAACATATTTTTAATCGATTTTTACCTCTATTCAAATACTCGAATGTCTGAATACTTGAATTATTCGTAATTGATTTCGAGCCCTAATAAATACAGTGTTTTCCAAATATTCAAGTATGTGAAAAATTGTAGCATTCAAATAATTTGAGTATTCGAATATTTCGAGTAATTTGACTATTCAAATTAATATTCTAACGAGTACTCGAATTTCTAAAACTGAAAAATTCTCAGCCTTACTTTTTACTCTCAGAAATAGTCAAAGATGGTGACTTATTTTAAATTAGTCAAACTTTAACTACTTTTACTACTTGTAGTAAAAAATAACTATTTAAAAGTGAATGCTGGTACTCATTTAAATGGTAGAATTTTGACTATTTCATTTTAAGAGAGAGTATTTCTTTTTACCTGGCAATATGGATCCAGTTTCATGGTATCTGGCAAGAATTTTTGAAACGCACCCATGAGACACGCGAAGTTGTCTAGAAATATCACACGGTCTGATTCCAACTTGAGATAGTTCCACAATTCGAAGCCTTACTGCGTTAGGTAAAGGTCTACCGTTTACGAAAACACCTCCCAACTGGTTAACCTCTCCATACTGTTGAACTTGACCGTCTGTAACAAAGAAAATAATAAATTGCAAAATGTGTTTTACAAATTCTTATTAGTTTTTACATGCATAGCTTCAAAACCAATACTCCTCGGTTAAGGAAGTTGATTAACAAAATATAAATACAAATTTAAATATTTGAATGTCAAAAAAAATATCTCGAAATAAATTTGCGCACCCAAATAACCCTATAAAAGTTGTTTGCCACCACGTGGCAAAATTTCTGTCGGAAAACCAAAACTTCTGGTAAAAATTATTGGAATATTAGTCAAATTTGTCTGCTTTAATTGTTAAAATGCGAAAAAAACTCTAAAATACTAAAAATGACACTAATTAGTGTTATTCAAAGACAGTGTGTAATACGAGTCGATTATGAAACAAAATATAAGTAGAAACGGTAATCCGACAAAAAATTTCAATGTAGAATTGGGGATTCTAGTTTCAAAGAATGTCCACCGACAAACAAATGTTTTGGATGAAACTGGATCCTACCACATTTATTCTTTCGAATGCCACACTGAAAATAAAGGTCCAAATTATAAGGTATATTTGTTATTATATAAAGCGAATCTTATAATTAAGCAAGTTAATAGTATATTATGTATAAAGTTTGATTTTAGTCATGAATTAAATTTAGTCACGAGCGAGCTTGCGAGCGAGTGCTTAATTAAATGAGTGCCTAGAAAAGTTTATAAACGATAAAAAATTATTTAATTTAAAGCGACATCTATACGAAAATAAAGTAACCATCCCAATAAACTTATTTTCACTATTACCATTACGTTATTATTTTAATTAAACTTAACAATTATTAATACTTTAAAATATTAAAATAACTTTAAAATATGATTATGTTAAAAAAATATGTTATATCCTTTGATTTTTTTATTACTATAATTGCAAAAGTATTAAAAATTCTTACACGGAAAATGTTAAAGGTAACAAAAGTGACAGTAGTATTTATTGGAATTCCCGTTAGAATTTCTAACTTGGGAATCTACCGGCGTTAAAATCTCAATTTTTCTTTAGTAAATCAAAATTTATCCCTTGAAAATGGACTATCAATCGATATAGAACCGGGTTTTCTCAGTAAAAGAGAAGAGAATGTTTAATGAGCACTGTACGCAAAATTTTTAACGCTTTTTTAGTTAAATCTAGTTAACTGCACTACTACGGCAAAATCAAATAAGCTTTTCAAATATTGGCGTCAAGAAACTATTTAATACTTTTGTATTTTTGTATTGAGATAATAAAATAATTTTCACATTTAGTATTAATTTACAAGAAATGCACTTTGACTAAAAACCTGTTGCCAACTTCAGCCCGTGACTAAAACGCCGTAAAGCCACAAGTTGTCAATGTGTATTTAAAAGGTCACTTAGTGCCATGGAAACATATACGATAATTATATACTGGACGTTTTAAAGGTGGGAGAAGAAAATAGTATATTAAAGAACTAATGTCATAAGACGTCATTTTGTCGCACGCGGACAATTGTGCGACAAAAGGTCTTATGACATGAGTTCTTTATGCCATTTTATCTATTTTGCAAAAATTCTATAAAAAAATTAATTTTATACCTTATATTTAATTTGGACGAATTTTACTTTAGATAGTTGGTATCACAGTCATTGGTTTGACAGTTAATGTCAAAATCGATTCGCCATGCCGTCCTTAATTTACTTATTTACAATAAGCAGCTGTTAATGTTAAAGAAGAAAAAAAGGATTTTCTTTGGCGTTAAACAAAATTTATTGCCAGAAAAGTCTCGTAAGTACTAGAAAAATCCTAAAAATATTATAACCAATATGCAAAATATCATGCTGTTAAAAGTATAGCCAACCTATATAAAATCAAAATTTTGGGTGGGATAAAGTATCTAATTACAGCACCGAAAGCGGTGTTATAATGAAGTCATTATGAACGCAAAATAGAAAAAAGACGGATAAACTACGCCTGCATGTGATTTTTAGAATAGAGGTATTTTGTAAACGTGTCTTTAATCAAAACAATTGTTTTTATGAATGGAGAGAAATATAAATGTGTCGCGATTTTCGACAGACACGAATGACTGGGAATAATTGTTCATTAAATTGGCCAATCCGGCTAAAATCTGGCGAAACAAAATACGCGTACGAGCAATTACTGTTTGCCGCCGCACCGCTGCTTTACGCCTCAATCTGGAACGAAACACCATTTTGCGCTCTTAATTAACATTGACAAATTGTTAATAAAAAATACTTCGTTTGCCTTATCCTTTATGCTTAATTAAACAATAATAAAATGTGTTTACTATTACTTATTTATTAAATGCCGTACATTTTCGCAAATCTTTCATTTGCAGTTTTCAATAAAATGAAAAATATATAAGAATATGATATTTTTTTTTACTCCCACCTTTACTAATTCCATTATCGTACATGTTTCCAGAAAAGTTTATCTTAATCGTCAATTAAAATATTAATTATATCATAGAAAAACATTACGCCACGTCCGACCGCAATCTCCTACATTAAAAAACATCCCATAAAAAATTAAAGGCATGCATTTATACCGTCAATACTGGATTTACTATACAATAAATGCAGTGCTTAGAAAAATATTTTCCATTTAATTTGGAATTGACTATATCTCGAAAACTGCTCTACTTTCATAATTTTTGTATTTTCAGATTCAGGGGACAATTTTACATAAGAATTGGCATGGTACAAGTGAAAAAGCAGCCACTACACTGTTCAAAATTTCATGACCATTTTAACACGAAATTAACACCATACATGGTCTATATCGATACAAACCAAAATGGTGTTAAATATGGTTCGTTGGACCAGTGTAAATTCAAATAGGTACTAAAATAGTGTAAATTTAACTTTCTCACAATATTAAAATAAATTTTACCTGGTGTAAATTTAACTTTCTCACAATATTAAAATAAATTTTACCTGGTGTAAATTGAACTCCTTTTCAGTGTTAAATATTATGTGTTTTTGGTCAAATTAAATCATACTTCACAGAAAAAAGGGAAAAAAAGGAAACAGGAAGTTCCTTGACGCATTACTAGTATATTAAGAGTGGTATTATTCCAGAAAATTGAACCTTCAAAGTTTGAAGTTCAAACTCGTTAGAGATAATGTTTTTAGTGCGTTCCACCAACTTAAAATACAAGTATTGGCAGCTGTTTCCAACTATTTAAGGTCTCTTTAGTATCGAACAACTTGTAGTGTCACACCAAAGCAAAGGACTACCTAAGCTTATATACTCTTCATGTAAGTAGACAGAGGCGAGATTTAAGAACATCACGTGATCCACACCGCCTTTGCCGCGATCGGTACACACTATACAACCAGGAATGCACGGCAAATTTAATCGTTTTAACAGAGTGCTTTAGGTTGAAGTAACTCTTATTTTACAAACAACATATTTAGTAAACTGAACCATAGAGCGGGTTGGTTTCACTAATGTTTTCTGGGTTATTTAAACCAATTAAAAAAAAAACCGTCAAACTAATCTTTGTTTATATTAACCTTCCCACAGTTGATTTAAATAAATACTAATGGGTCAACTAAATTAATATAGTTAAATGATTTATTCCTTTTTTTCTGTGTAGGTGCACTTCTCAAATATTTTTAGATAAACACCGTTTAGGTGTTTGCTGTATATAGCATTTTCAACTATAATTCACCGTATTTATATTAACACCACTTGGTGTTGGATTTTGACACCATTTTAAGATTACTCTTTACACCACAGATATTTTAAACAGTGTAATAACTGTAGTAATTAGTCATTTTTAACTTGTTTTTTGAAACGCTAGTCTCAACAGAGGCCAAATGTAACCAACATCTACCTTTTCAGGTGAGCCAGGTTTTATAGAAGTTCTAACCCAAAAGTAAAAAAACGCGCTTTATAACACCACACTGAAAGAAATATATGTTTGTTTTAGCAAATGTATGTGGTTCATATAATGGACATATAATATTATGGACTACCACATACATTGCTAAAACAAACATATATTATATTTAGTTTTAACATAATATGTTAAAACTAAATATAAAAATGGTTAAGGTAAATATATTTTATGTTTCATATATAGACTACCACATACATTGCTAAAACAAACATATATTTCTTTCAGTGCACATAATATTGAATACAAATTTTGTCCTGCATCTAAAATGACTACCATTATTTGGCCAGTGGCCATGGACAAAAGAAACATATTTCATGCTATCAATATGTCAATAAATTTCGGTTCGGTATTCTTTTTCGAGGCATAATTTGGCGTAACCATGGGACGCAAATAGGTACCCCGGTGCCATAAGGCGGGCACGTTTTTTATTTTGAAAAGCTGCTCGACTTCTTGGCAAACGACTTAATTTCGCTAGATACAAATGTGCATGTTTTACAACTTACAAGACTTAATATAAAACAGAATTAGTGTGCCAATTAATTTTCGTGACAAATGCACATGTTTCGCCAATTCTCGACTGTAAATCATGCAGTGCACAAATCTCATGAGCATGCACGTCGCATACTAATTCAAAATTTAATTAACAGCACTTTAGAGTTATATTTTTGTTATGAGTACGATACTTTTTTTGAATGATAAATTTGTGGTTGCTTTAAGAAGTTTCTGTTGATTTAGATTTTGTATCAGAATGTTTTAAGGTATTTGTTGCAAAATTCTAGAGAACCAGTGTTAAATGCATTTTTTATACACAGTAAAAAATTTTGCCCGTGTAAATTATTTAGTGTAGGAGTAAAAATATTAGAGTTGATTTGTAAGTGTAACAGTTACACTTTAAAATACACTAGGTAGCATTTAGTGCTTATTAACTTTATTAAACACATTTAAAGAATATTAACATTATTCATTGGTAGATTCACACTATTTATTATTAAAATAAATCAAAAGCGTAGAAAAACTTAATGCGAATGTTTATTATCCCTTAATGTGTTAAATAGTGACAAATTGTACACTACAGTGCATGCCAATTTCTTTGTCTGTTTTGATGTTACTAGGACTCCTAGTCTAGGAGCTCTTTTTTCTTTACACTACTAGTGCACATTGTATCACAATTAAAGTTGAATTACACCAATAGTGGCAAAATAGACTAAAAAAACTGGTAATAACCAAAATGCGTTTTAAAATGTTTGGTTGGTACCTATCTACCTACGCATAGCATTTCCGGATATACCTCGTTGTGGAAGTGTGGCATTTTTGTTCAGTTAGATTTTAATTACGGTGAATCCATAAGAGGACATTCTTATTTTTTGGTAAGTATTATACTTCTTTTTTTTAAGCCTTAATACTCAATAAATACCAATATGTTAAAAGGATGTCCATACCCGACCTATATTATATATCAATAATTTACGGCAGTAGGTCTGGTACTTGTTACATTAATAATATAAATACATACACACTTAATTTACTTTTTATTTTCAAGCGTATTGGTTGTTATATTAACCTATACCTACATTTTTACTAATATTATGGAAAATTTGTACACGTGTGGTAAATCCCCGTCTGACGCCTCTCTACCAATGGGATCACCCATTTTTTATAACAGAAAAATGGATTACTGATGAATTCTCAAGATAATTCATTGCTTACAAGTTGACAGCCAGTAAAACATTGCATTGATCTAAAACTTTTACGTTTTAAGGAACCATTTTGCTTAAGCCAGCCATACGACTCAAATATAAAATTATATTTGTTTGCACTAAAAGAGTAAAAGTACCTTTCTAAATTTAGAACCTTTCCAAAGTAGTGTTAATTCACACTGAACAAAAGTGGGATTTTACCCGGGAAGTGTAGAAGTACACGATTTTAGGTAAATTAAGACTTTTTAATACAGTGTCAAATTTCTTTATCCTCAGTGCTATAGTGTTAAATGATACTTGCTTACTTGTGAAAAATTACACTACAAATGAACTCCAATTGTAGTGTTATAAAACAACACTATTTAGTGTGGACCTGTGTGAACTCTAATTTGTGTTGCTTAGAGTTGATTTTTTTTACTGTGTAGTAAAAGGGAGCTAGACTATATATAAAAATCAGATTTATTAACATGAGTTTTTAGTTTTATTTTGTAAAATTTTAACATATTTTTTTGTAGAAAACCAAGGTTTGTAATTATTTTAACAAAGGTAAATATTTTACCGAAAGTTTTTTAAAGGTAATATGCAATTTTGTAAGCATCTTTGTCAATTAAGGTAAAATACGAAAGCGGTCTATCCAAAAATACTAACATCCAACTTATTTCGTATACAGTTATAGTCAGTTATAGACAGTTTTGACCATTTTACTGGTTGCTATAAAACCATTTAGGTACAGCGTATTTTAGTACAAAGTTCTAAAAATTATGTTTTAAACTTAAAACTCGCACCTCTAGTGGGTAGGTAATACCTACTAGGTATGTACTTTACCGCGATTTTCTAACGATTAAATTGATTGAACATAACCTAAAACCAGATGTTGCACACATTTTGACTTTCATCAAAGTGGTGGGTCATTATACTATCAAGGATCTCTGTCATTTGTCAGTTGTTCCCAAAATAATAAATTGAGACAGGTAATATAGAATTAGATTCATAAACAAGAACTTAAAATAGCAAAAATTAATAGAAAATTTTTCAATTAGGAAATATAAAAATATTTTTAATGTCTTAATTAAGGTTGAAAGTTAGCATCACACTCTATAACCCCATGTCCCCATCATATTGCAATAGTGAAAACTTGGATATATTTCATAGGTTTTGTATGAAACAGAATTTCAAAACTAAAATAAAATAACAAATACGTAGCTCCTCAGTTCTAATAAAGAATGCAGGCAATGGTATCGCTATTGTTATTTTGCGCGTTACAAACAAGCAGCGTGTGTTTTTGAAGGTTAACTTTCGTCAGGGCATTTACTCGGTAAGTATTTGCAGTATTTAATTTTCTTTTTCATGTAAAGTAAACCAATTTCTTTCTTTTTAATTAATGCAATGTTTTATGTGCATTTATTTATAATAAGAGACTCTTTAAGCGAAAATTTACTGCTGAGAGTAGTATTAGAATTACCTTAAGTTTGTCTAAATAATAGTCGCAATGAATATGAAAATGTGAAATAGGTAGATGGGGCTAAAAAGTATAACCCAAGTGTGTACATAGCTTAACTTGAAATATGTTTTACAGTATTTTTAAATCTTGTTATTTTAAATTTTTAGACAGAAACCCATTCAAAATTTTATTAGGTCTTTCTTAAAACCAAATCGCTGACTTGAGCCAAAGTATACACGCAAAATACTTGTAAGTATTTAAATTATAGTTAGTAAAAGCTCATGGTACAGTAAAAGTGCCATCAGACCGTAAAGTATGAAGCTCGTGGCTAATGCGTGGTGCGTCAATCGACACTCAGTTCAGTACGGATATATACGCCAAAAAACGAAGAGAGAGCGTGGCCAGAGGCTTAGCCGAGCCGTTAACAAATTTTATTGTGCGATTAAAACCATGAGCAAGCCGAAATTATTACTTCTCGGGATTTCTTCGAGCCTCGAAGGAATTCCATCGGAATTTTCATTGTTCTTTCGCGATAATAAGCTGATGTTGGTAAATGTTGTAATTGGGAACATTTTAGCTTTGCATTCTTTGGAATCGTCTTTGCTATTTATACGCATTAAAAAAATATTTGTTAATTTTAACCAAATATTAAGTTAATTTACATATTACAGTTGGTTGCAACCAACTGTAATATGTTAACTAATTGAATAAGTAGTTTTTATAATTATAATTATAACAAACATTTTGTAGATTTAATAACAAAATCCTATATCAATAAATACAATACAAATTAAATAACACACCATTCTGAAATTATCAAATTATAAAGAAATTTGGCACTAGTATACTATAATATATACAAGGTGTCCCTAAACTTATTGGCATAAATTTAGGAAAAGTCAAAATAAGACGAAAACCCAAATAAATATTTTTCCTAATTACTTAGGTTTCGAAGATACAGGGTGATAAAGTGTTACTTATCATATCAGCTTTTTTTAATATAACCTCTACTATGGTAGTCTTGAAAAGGTGATATTTTGCGAACAGCCCTGAAAAGGACATTACATGAGCCTAGGGACATTTTGCCCTGATGGTCACATTAAAAAAATTGTAGTTTTTTCAATTAAAAAATTTGTTATCATTTACGTAATTACCTTTTAATCCTTTAATGCGATATATATAATAATTATTGTAATCTCGAATATCTCGGAAACGGTTTATTTTATCCAAGTTTTAGAAGTACACCTTTTTAATAGTAGCCGAACTAAGTAATCGAAAAATTGCATCAAATGGTACAAAACCTAACCTCAAAGTTTGTATGGGACAATAAGCAACCCCTGTTTCTACGACACTGTGTTCACTCGAACAATTGTAATTATGTGTGAGTATGTGTTTTGGTAGTAATTGACTGTTCACAAAATATCACCTTTCCAAGTCATTGTAGAAGTTATATTATGATAAGTAACACTTTATCACCCTGTATCTTTTAAACATACATACGTAATTAGAAAAACGATTTATTTAAATTTTCTTCTTATTTTGCTCCTAAATTTATGTCACTAAATATAGGGACACCTTGTATATTAAAGAACTAATGTCATAAGACGTCATTTTGTCGCTCGAGGACAATTTATAAAACGAAGGAGCGAGTTTTGTAATGGACAAGTACGACAAAAGGTCTCATGACATGAGTTATTTATGCTATTTTATCTATTTTGCAAAAAAATCAATAAAAAAAATTATATTTATAGCTTATATTTAATTTGGTCGAATTTTACTTTATATAGTTGGTATCACAGTCATTTGTTTGACGGGTTAATGTCAAAATCGATTCGCCATGGCGTCCTTAATTTACTTATTTACAATAAGCGGCTGTTAATGTTAGAGAAGAAAAAAAGGATTTTCTTTGGTGTCAAACAAAATTTATTGCCAGAAAAGTCTCGTAAGTACTAGAAAAATCATAAAAATATTATAACCAATATGCAAAATATTATTTTAGTAGTATGCTGTTTAAAGTAGCCAACCTATAAAATCAAAATTTATGGTGGGGTAAAGTACCTCATTACAGCACCGAAAGCGGTGTTACAATGAAGTTATTATGAACGCAAAATAGATAAAATATAATTTTCAGTACTATATATAGTACTAATAAATCAGTAAGTGTTGTAGTATACTACAACACTTACTGATTTATTTCGTAACTTTAACCCACTTCTCTGTATCCCCTAATTTCAGTTTGAAAACCACTGCAGTGATGGCATCTTTTTTCGGATACTTCGCAATTAAATAGGTATAAGGAATCCGAATAACAATAATAACAGATTTCTGGTAATATATTATAAACACTCTAAAAAGTTATTACGAACGCGTTACAAATTAGAATAAAGTAAGCAGAAACATAAGTTACAGACGCTGAAGTCAGTTGAACTTGTTGATGCGTATTGTCAGTGGAAAATGTTTTGATGACTTCCTCAAATCACGTGTACTTTTTCAACGAAATAATTTGTTAAACATTTACAAAATAATCTGTAACCTTTTAAATGAACAAAATGCTTACAAAATTGCATATTATCTTTACAAAACTCTCGGTAAAATATTTTCCTTAGTTTAAATAATTACAAACACTGCAGGGTTTTATACAAAAAAATATGTTAAAATTTTTCAAAATAAAATTACATTGTAAATTATTATGATATTGTGTAAAATTCTAAAATTATTCAATATATTATAAAAAAAAATGTAATATGGAAATGTTGTACTAAATTAATAACGCGACTCTATAGTAATAAAATTTGATAAATCTTTGCAAAAACATTCAAACATTTCAAAACTTTAAAGATATATGGAGGAGTGGTGGTAGCCAGGTGAGGCACCTTCCCATTGGCTAAAATAACATTTCGATTAAAATATCTGGCAGGTAATGTTCCATCTTGGCGTGCGTGGTCCACCACAGCTGCTTGATCATTCGCTCTGTCTACCAGGTAAATGCGACCAAATGCCGCCACAAAATCATGGTTGGCAATGATTAATTATAGAACGTTTTTAAAATTAAAACCTGTTACCTTTATAACAAAATGGTACATTATAACAAAAGTTTTACAAAAGAAACTTACTTTGGTTAATAATTATTAATTTGAAGGAATTTTTAATGGTAAATTTAACCTAAATATATTCTCACCCATAATATAACAAGTGGTATGATTATCATCGATGATATTTTCGAATTGAAACCGAGCTGCAGATTTCACGAGTCCGCAGGACGAGTGAAAACGTGCTGCTTCGGTTTCAATGAGTAAATATCATCGACTATTTCCCTCGTCTTAATTTCCACCAATCACAAACGCGCAATTTTGAATTACAAATGGTTTCTAGGTAAAAAAACTGTGTGACAGCACCTGTCAGCAGTTTTTTTTGAGTTTACCCGCGGCAAAACTTGACAGCTGTTGTCACCAAAAATTTAAATTTATATTTTAATTGTTAACTGTTACTCATGAAATAGTCTTGTCAAATACCATTCGGGCATCTAATTTTTCCTGTGAAAAAAATCGAAAAAACACAATGCTAAGTAATATTTTTTAACAAAATGCATTCGTGCAGGTGCAAAAATCCTTCTCTTCGACTCGGATTTTTGTTGCCACCAGCACTCATGCTTCTTGTTAAAATATTACTTAGCAACGTATTTTTTCGATTTTTTTCGGAAAAATTAGATGCCCTTATGATATTTCTTACGATAATTAATCATACCACGTGTTATATTTAGTGAGAAAATATAATGAATTTTAAGATTTAACGAATTGTCAGTTTGACATTTGAAATTAAAATGTGCTTTAAAATATAAAAAGACTTTAATAAACATAAGTATTCAAACTTACCTTAATTTTATTATCGTTTACACCAACCCATCGATCTTTTAGTTTATAATTTATTATTTTAATCATTTAACAAACTCAGTATTTAAATGTCAACAAATGTCAAATCAAGAAAAGTGTCAAAATCCTTAGCAACGTGTAAACAAGGTGATAAAAAACATTGTCCCTGTTATAAAATGCGTAACTATGGAATACTGGCATTTTATTGGTTCTAATTATAATGAATTGTATTGTCTCTAAACTAAATTTTACTCACAAATAATATTATTTTAATTTTAAAAACACCGTAAATAATATTTTAAGAATTATAATTCTTATTTGTCTGAAAACTTTTTAAATTTTAGTTAAACTTTAAAGTGGTATAAAAAAACTAAGTATTAATAAAACATAATATAAATTAAAGAGAAAAAGAAAATATAAATGTTAAAGGTTCATAAAGAACAGACGTGAAGTAATTTTAACGTTATTTTTACGTTAATATGTGGTATTTAATTTGTTTTCATTTGAATAGTTATTATGTAATAAAAATAAGTTATTATTTTCGATAAATAGTATGCAACTCGTTTTATAAACTTCTTGAGACAATCGCCTATCAATCACTCGCTCGCAAGCTTCGCTCGTGCCTAATTAAAACTCGTGATTAATCGTGTTTATCAAACTGGTTACTAGTGTTTTAAAATTTTCCTAAAAATTCAGCCTAGGGAAAAGAACAGGTTTGCAATTTTCTGGAAATTTTCAGAAAAATTGATTTTCGCGTTTATTTTCTATTTCGTTTAAACTGCTAACACTTTTTTTGTATGAACATCCATACTAAATAAAATTAGGCATTTATTCATAAATAACAAAAAATTCTCCTTTTATTAAAAAACGAAACGAAATATAGTTATTAAACAAAAAATTCTTCGAAAACAAAGAATGGCTTTATTAGGGTACCTTTCCCATGCCTATTAAAAGCGAAAATGAAATATGCAAAAGGTAAAAAAACGAAAATGGGGCAATAAAAATGGCCTGGCTGCGGCAAAGACACGTCCTCGACTAAAAAGAAATCGCACGGAATTATTGAACTTAATTGAACGAGCTGTCGAAACACATTTGCTTATATTGGTGCCGGTTTACTGTTACACCAAACAACGCTTCGAAATGACGATCAAGATTGAAATGATTTAATTTTAAAGGCCAACAAAAAACTTATAAAAAAAACTCCTTAATATCGATGGTTATTTGACAAAACATCGTAAGCGACAATTTTGTTGAATTACTTTTTATTTTATCAAAGTGTCAGTTACGATAAGCGGCACATGTTAACATAAAAGTTATTCCAATTTTGGAATCTAATAATGGTCAGTTTGAATATTTTTATTATTGTAAGCGCCTCTTCTTTTTAATTTGTTACCGATTTATAACGTAAGCGCCTATATGTTCCCGACAAATAATCGTAAGCAACTCCGAGACATTGTGTCGCTTACGATAATATTGTGGTCCCGCCTTGATCTATCAAGGCGTTATTCCCGCTCTAAACAGTTTATTCGTGAGTATACCTGCATCGTGGTGATTGCTACCAAGTTTAAAAACAAATTTAATTTGATCAAAAGCTTATAATTTGTTTTTTTTATTGCATTATTAATAGTTATCCTAATTATAATTGTTTTTACGTAGTGTGGTTCGTTAAAAGTGTTTTTTGTAGTAATTGTATGTGGTTCTAGCGTCAAATAATTTGACTCAAATTTATAACGGTTAGATCATGGTAC